CCTCAGGAGTTATTCGGCCAGCCTGATGGAGTTGGGAAGTGATAGGGCTCCACTCTGGGACTCTTTCCCCTCTTGTGCCTTTAATGCATGAGGTTCTTTGCAAGGGTGACACACAGACGGAGGGTCACATGGGTTTTGGCAGAGAACAGGAAGCCATGGAGATGGCCAGCCCTGTTAGAGGCTATGAACTGGCCAACAGGGGAAAGAAAGGGCCCTCCCCTCTGTGCTCCCAGTCTCTCCCAGCAGCATGGGGCAGAGTTGGGGTCCTGTCAGCTTTTCACAGGTAGGTGTACGTGCAGGGTCTCACATCAGCTGCCCTGCGCTGCCCCAAAATGGGGGAATAGAATCCACTCACCCGTGTAACCAAACCTGCCAAGTTCATGAGCCAAACCCCATAACCAGCCCAGAGAATGTCCAGGCACAGCGGCTCTTCAGCTCTTGGCACGAGCAATGGGCTGTAGCAGCGGAGTCTAGGGGCGAGCACCTTCAGCGGGTGGAAGGGACCACCTAGGGCTGAGGGCACCCGTGCCAGACACACTCCGGCGCTTCCTTTCCTGTTCTGGGAGCTGGTACCAGTGGGAACTGGAAATGCTGATGAGACCAATCTCAGCTCAGCTGTCTCCCGGGCTCCTTGGGATTCCTCACCTCAAAGGCAGAGTGTTTGTGCCCCTCCATTGCAAGGTGAGACTGCAGCTCCTCTGCCTTGTACCTGGCCCCAGGCAGGCCCAGCACACAACGCAGAGTCGGGGGAGGGGAGCCCCATGGAAACACAGCTAGGGAAGAGGCTGCCTCTTTCCTCCTCCTTTCTAGTAGCAAAGGGTCAGACAAGTAAAGGGGACCCACCAAACTGCTGTGCCAGCAGAGAGGACTCAGCACAGACTCCAATGGGCCTGGGATCGAACCCTGGAGTGCTGGCAGGACCAGTTGCTCTCCTCTGTGTCCCAGAGGAAGATCAGATGCTGTGAGTCTAGCTGGGAGCTGTCCTGCCAACAAGTGCGGAGCACCAGGAGGGTTAATATGTTTGTGCAGCACTTGGAAGCCATGAAGAACTAAGTAAGTGCTGAGGATTGTTACATTACTCGGGTGGCCAGAGGATGGGAGAGCAACAGAGGTCTGACAAAAAGTCTCTTCTTCCTCATCTTGGTGCAGTCGCTCGGGCAGGGGATGGAGTGGTGAGGGGGCCTCTCGTTCACACCTGATTACATGCAGCTGCTGCAAGGCAGAGCTCGGGGCAGGGGGAGGGGTGTGGTGGAATGGGAAGCGGGAGCTCAGCTCGCCCTCACAGAGCCACTAATGGAGGCTCACGGGAAGGGGACATGCCATCTATTATGCTGCTAGGCACTGAAAAACCACAACCAGTGGACAGCCAGGTATGCAGGCAGGCAGAGTGCCCCAAGGGAGCATGACAGGACTCTGAGGAGCTGTCTGCCTAGGGGGTGCTGGAAGGAGAATTCATAACTGAATGCATCAGGCATAACAAAAGAAAACACATTCCGATTCGTGGGGCTGAGGCCAGGGGATTTGGGTACCTCGGAGTCCTACTGGCCAAGCCCTCGAGGCTGGACATGTGAGATGTGGCTCTGTCTGGAGTGTGTTGTGCTGCTGTAACACCAGAGACACTTCTCCTGCTTCTCTCTGCTCCAAGCACCCCTTCCCAAACATCGCCATCTCTCTCAACGGTCAGAAAGGCTCCTTCCTCTGCAGTCACTTGTTCTTTCTGCAAATAATGCATCACTCCCACCCACCCCCCAGGGAAGCAGCAGAAGAAGCAAGCGAGAAAGAGCAATTCCATCCCCAAGGCCCATTTCCTACCATTAAAGACCAGGAAATAAAATCTACATTCTGCAGCACTGCTAGCAAAGCCCCAGTAAGGCAGCGGATGTGCGCACGCTGTATGTGAGGAGAGAACGTGCACAGTATGTGTGTCTACACTGCAATCAGAGGTGTGACTGCAGCTCGGTTCAGCACATCCATGCTAATGTCAATCTAGCTAGTATGGCTACATAGCAGTGGAGACATGCATGGCCCCTGGTACAGGCCAGCAATGTAAATATGTCCCCAGCGTTCTGGCTTGGCTTGTACAGCCTACCCAGGGGTCAACACTGCCCCACCTTCACTGCTCTTTTTAGCCATGCTAGTTCAATTAAAGCTAGCGTGGGGGTGCCTGCACGAGCTGCAGTCACACCTCTGACCGCAGCATAGACACACCCCTGGGCCTACAGCATATCTGAGCTAAGTCTGAGTGTGCCCGGCACAGCGTATACATGTCTGAGGCACAGCACGTACTTCGTGCACACACAGAGTCTATGCAGAGCGTGTTTGTGCAGGTATGTGCAGCTGTGTGCGTGTACTCTGGGAGTCTGGGTCATGTACCTTCTGTGGCTGATCCCAAAAACTCACCCCAGCAGGGCTCTCTCCCCGGCTGCCTTCCTAGCACAACGCTCTGGGCTGACTGACAGGAACTGGGCGGGCGGTGAGGGGACTGTGGCTGTACATGTTAAGTCAGCTTAACTTCTGTACCCGGAAAGATAATGGAGCAAATAATTAAGCTATCAATTTGCAAACATCTAGAAGATAACAAGGTGATAAGTAACAGTCAGCATGGATTTGTCAAGAACAAATCGTGTCAAACCAATCTGATAGCTTTCTTTGACAGGGTAACCAGCCTTGTGGATGGGGGGAAGTGGTAGATGTGGTAATCTTGACTTTAATAAGGCTTTTGATACTGTCTTGCATGACCTGCTCATAAATAAACTAGGGAAATCAAATGCAACCTAGATGGAGCAGTCTAGTATAAGCTGGGTGCAAAACTAGTTGGAAAACTGTTCCCAGAGAGTAGTTATCAGTGGTTCATAGTCATTCTGGAAGTGCATAACGAGTGGGGTCCCGCAGGGATCAGTTCTGGTCCGATTCTGTTCAATATCTTCATCAATGATTTCGATAATAGCGTACAGAGTACAAGTTTGTGGATGATACCAAGCTGGGAGGGGTTGAAGTGCTTTGGAGGATAGGATTTAAATTCAAAATGATCTGGACAAACTGGAGAAATGGTCTGAAGTAAATAGGATGAAATTTAATAAGGACAAATGCAAAGTACTCCAATTAGGAAGGAACAATCAGTTGCACACATACAAAATGGGAAATAACTGCCTAGGAAGAAGTATTGCGGAAAGGGATCTGGGGGTCAGAGTGGATCACAAGCTAAATATGAGTCAAAGTGTAACTCTGTTGCAAAAAAAGCGAACTTCATTCTGGGATGTATTAGCAGGAGTGTTGTAAGCAAGATACGAGAAGTAATTCTTCTGCTCTACTCTGCTCTGATTAGGCCTTAACTGGAGTATTGTCTGCTGTTCTGGACGCCACATTTCAGGAAGGATGTGGACAAATTGGAGAGAGTCCAGAAAAGAGCAACAAAAAATGATTAACGGTCTAGAAAACATGACCTATGAGGGAAGATTGAAAAAATTGGGTTTATTTAGTCTGGAAAAGAGAGGACCGAGAGGGGACATGATAGCAGTTTTCAAATATGTAAACGGTGGTTACAAGGAGGCGGAAGAAAAATTGTTTTTCTTAACCTCTGAGGATAGGACAAGAAGCAATGGGCTAAAATTGCAGCAAGGGAGGTTTAGGTTGGACATTAGGGAAAAACTTCTTAACTGTCAGGGTGGTTAAATACTGGAATAAATTGCTTAGGGAGGTTGTGGAATCTCCATCATTGGAGACCTTTAAGAGCAGGTTAGACAAACACCTATCAGGGATGGTCTACATAATTAGTCCTGCCACGAGTGCAGGGGACTGGACTAGATGGCCTCTCGAGGTCCCTTCCAGTTCTATGATTCTATGTTTCAAGTTTCCTGTGGGGATTCCTACATGGTTCTATGTTAATTCGAAGGTCCAGTGCGAGGCTTTGGGACGTTCCCTCCCCACCAAACAGCCAGGCACGGTGCATTCCCCAGTGCCTTGCTGTGGCCCTGAGCAGGCCTGTTAGAACATTATCTCTCTGTGTCATTTGCTGATTATATTCACAGGCTGTCATCAGCTGTTTCCCCTTCCATACTGTGCGCTCCTCTCTGGAGTCCCGGCTTCTACTCTCTGCCCTGTTCTGTCATCAGGAACAGCTCCAGGATAAAGCTCTTGAATCCAAGGCCACAATGCGCTGGCTCCAGGCTACTCCTGGTCAGTATGCAGGTCTCCTTTCCAGCACACGGCAATGCTCCATTTCCAGCGAGCAGCTGTGTACAGAGACCCGCAGCACAGAGATTCCAGGCACCACAACACCCAGCCTTCCAAGGGAATTTTCCACAAGTCCAGGATGTTTTCTGTACATCAGCTTTTCATTGCCACCGCTCACCACTCAGGCCACTTGGCAGAGCCATAAGACTGCTTTTGTGCCGTAGGTAACGAGAGTTTAACTCTCAATTTCCTTAGCCACAAATGAATGGAAACGTCCTGTGCAGATCAGCTGCTGCCCAGAGTGTGCCCCTGCCCAAACATCAACTCCATTGGTCTTTGATCCCTCCCGTGAACCCAGTCCCTGCCTCTGGCTCCAACTGCACGCCCCACAGCACACGCCACACTGTACATCTGTCAGTCTTCTTCACTGCCTGTCATCTCTCGTCACTCACTAGCCTGTTCTCTGAGGCTGCCCTGCTGTCATTCACATGTATGTATGAGCATTGCCCATTCCCCTTTTCTGGCATTCCTTTGCCATTGAAACTCCCATCATTTGCCAATGACATATCTGTCACTCACCTGGCTTGTGCCTTCACCTATCTGCTACTTGCACACTGGTTCTGTCACTCACCTGCCAGACGCCTGCCCTGTGTCACCCATTCGCCTGTGTCCCCTCTCACCCGGTGCTGTCACCCTCTGCTGCATGCCTCTCTCCTGTCACTCAGCCTCCCACCCAAATCCCTTCTCAGGCACCCGCCGGGCCCTGTGTCGCTCGCAGGCCCATCACCTGGCAGAAGAGAACGTGAAGCTAGGAAGGTTGGTTTTACCGGACAGGGTTGTTTGCAGCATCGGGGTCCAGGGCGGTGACCACTCCCACCACAGAGCCAACGTAGGCATCCTCCTGGACTTCCATCAGGTCGGAGGGGGGCCGGAACTCCGGGGGCTCATCCACGTCCAACACAGAGACCCGCACAATGGTTTGGTCTCGGAACGTGCCCAGATCCACAAACCTTGGGTCCACAAACTTGTTCAGGGCCTCCACCACCACAGTGTGAACCATCTTGGCCTCGTAGTCAAGGGGCTGAGACAACAGGACAGGGTTAGCGATTCACCATCTGACGGTTCCTTCCCACCTCTGGTGCATTCACTACTGCTCCTTTGGGTTAGACCCCACCAGGGCTCCTGGGAGAGGCCAGGACTGGAGAAGCCCAGAGCCTCAGCTCTTGACATGCCCCCTCCGTCTCCTGCTGGGCAGGGCATGCGTACCTGGGAGCTCTCCTACCATGCCCCCTACAACGTCTCCTGCTGGGCAGGGTGTGTGTAGCTAGGAACTCTCCTGCCCGCTCCCTACAGGGCTACTGCTGGGCAGGGCGTGTGTAGCTGGGAGCTCTCCTGCCCGCTCCCTACAGGGCTCCTGCTGGGCAGGGCATGCGTACCTGGGAGCTCTCCTACCATGCCCCCTACAACGTCTCCTGCTGGGCAGGGTGTGTGTAGCTGGGAGCTCTCCTGCCCGCTCCCTACAGGGCTCCTGCTGGGAAGAACGTTTCCTGCCCTCCCCCACTCTACATTCAGCTAAGGCCTGATGTGGGAACTCAGACTGCACTGAGAGGCAGTGCGCACCATGGGGGCGAGTGACTGATTTCCAATGGTGTAGTGATCATTAATCACCTTGTGATTATTTTTACAGCAGAGGTGACTGGAATGCAATGGCCTTGGTGAGCACTCATTCTTTCCTGCCTGCACCCAGTGTTTTTGCCACAAAAAGCAGACACGCTCAGCGTGCGGTTGGTCAGGCTCAGGCATTCCGTGGGCATATTGCTCTCTAATAGGTGCTATCAATAACGGGGATTAGCGTTAGCCCCCACCGCTGAACACCTCGCTTCCGCGCATGGCAGCATTCACCCCTTCGTCACGGATTTGTCTGAAAGTCTCTCTCTGTAAATTCTGCGCTCACAACTGTCTGTGTCTCTTAGCGTCTGTGGGCAGCAACTTCCTCAGCTGGTGCCCTGCCTCCCTTGCCTTTCTTCGGCCCTTTCTTTCCAGTCTTTGCTTCTCCCTTTCTCTCTCCTGACACTTCTCCAGTTCCCTGCTAGCTGGGGGGAGGGTCTGAGGCTTCCAACTTCTCTAAGATGCTGTTAAACCAGCTCTCGCAGGAGCGATTCCCCAGCCTCTGAAACACACCAGCACCAGAAGGTATCATCAAAAGGGAAGGGCTCTGTCCTGCTCTGAGAGTCCTGCCCTGCCCTCCCCCACCTACCGCCTCTGCCTCCACTTCACACCTCCTCCTGGTGCCGTTCCTCTGGGTTTACCTTCTGCACGGTGATGATCGCCTCCTGGGTGTTGCTGTCTGTGGTGACTTTAAACATCTGCACTCCCTCCTCATCTTTGATCTGGTACGTCATGTCTGTGTTCTCCCCCACATCTGAGTCCTCCGCCTTCACTCTCCCGATCGCAGTGCCCACAAGGGCAGTCTCCACAACGCTGAATTGGTACATTTCTGCCAAGGGGGAGGAGAGGGGCTTGGCGTCACAGTGTGGCCTTTGCTGACCCTGATCCCCGGGTTCCCTTCAGGCAGTGCACAGACACTCCCTGGGGGCACCTCCACTAGGTGAGTGCGTCAGCCTCCAGGCAGAATGCCAGCAACCCAACTGGGTACACCTGGCTGGTCCCTGGTCCGGTGCGGCTCAGCTCCCACACACACAGATTGCAGAGTTTTGTCCTGTCTAGTGTGCAATGTCCCATTTATCCTTGGCAGCCACACTAGAGTCTGGGCTTTGTGAGGCCAGGCTGGAACCCCAGAGGATGCCCCATTTCCTAAACCTCTGTGCAAGGCGTGTTAGCTTTTCATGCGGGACGGGAAAGCAAATAACCCCATTCTGGATGAAGGAAGCTGGTGTGAGGCATTAGGGAGCATCCCAGTCTCTAGAAGTCTGGCAACCCCACCAGCCTGTCTCAGAACCAGCTGCACGGATGTCGGCCAGTCCAGGGCCAGTGCCGAGGTCTCTGTGGGCACAGCATTAGCACAGCCCCATTTCCCACTGCTAACATTTGGAATACAAATGTGCTCAGAGGGCTGAACTCCCTCCAGCTGCAGCTCAGAACCTTTGCAGCTCTGCCCCAGACTGCCAGCCAAGCGCTGCACAGCTGGTGTGCGAGGCAGAGACCAAGCCAGCAGCTCGTCAGGGACAGGATTTCTGTCCCTGTGGTGGGACTCAACTGCAGGTCACAGAGTTTGGCAATGGCTTGGGAGCTAGAGATCAGCTCACTCACACCCCACATGCACGCGGTGTGCAGGCAGGGGCTAGTGGACTGCCAGGTGGCAAGGGCCTGGGGCTCATTCAAGCCAGCGTCTGAGGTCTGAATTGGCACCTAACATTTGTGCGAGATGGCGGGAAGAGACGGGCTGACCTGCCAATGGAGTTTGGGGGGTACTCTCCCTCTTCCAGTGCTACAGGCCCAGGGAGGGAGACAGAGACAGACAGCTAAGCCTACTCCTCACACCTACAGTCCTGCAGCCCCACTGACTCCCCCAGGGTTTGCTGGCTGTCCCTGGGACACCCCTCCTGCTGCGGTTAATGAGCAGGGCTGGGATCTGCAGAGTGCTTGGAGTAATAAACCCACTACACAACGACCGCAGGCTGGGGCAGGAGCAGCCAGGACTCCTGCACAGATCACCGGTCAGATCCTCCTCTGCCACCACCACTGCCCTGTGGAATAAGAGAAACCTGCACAGACCTGACTATGCCCTGGCCCGCAGCCTATACTCCTGTACACCCAGAGCCACCAGCGTCAGAGAGTGTCTCTGCACTGCCAGCCAGTCCAAGGTGGGCAGGTTGAAGGGCCAATGGGGAGAGATGACACTGACTCCAGAAGAATTCTAATAAACAAATGGGTCTGCATTAAAACTCAGCATTGATTGGCTCCCCCACTCCACGTCACTTGCCCTCTTAGACTGCAAGCTCTCGGGACAGGATCCAGATCTCTGGGTCTGTGAAACACCTAGCACAAGGGGGCTATGTCCCTGACTGGGTCTCTGGCTGCTACCCCAAAGCAAAGTCAGCAACAACAATCCTGCACAGCAGTGGCTGGCTCAGCACCAGGCTGCCTGCAAGACCCCCAGGACGGGGAACAGCGACTCTTACTCTGGGGGAATCGTGGAGGGTTGTCGTTGACATCTGTGATCACAATTGTGACCGTGGTGGATCCAGACAGGCCACCCAGCTGCCCTGCCATGTCCGTGGCTCGGATCACCACTTCATACCGGTCCTGAGTTTCTCTGTCCAGATTGGCCACTGCCGTCCGGATCACACCTAGAGAAGGCCAAAGGGAAAGCAGTGAGTGTGAATGCCGGGGCGGCCCATCAGCCCACGGAGCACCCTTCTCACTGCCACCCTCCCCTGGGGGCAGGTCATGGAATCCTGTAGGCCGGGCTCCAGGCCAGAGCATGGTCACAAGGCAGGAGCCCTTCACCTTCACTTGCCAGCAGGACTCTGCCTCCTCATGCTTATGGACTCGGAAAAGGCTGTAACAGCAGGGTCAGTTGAGGGAGCAGCATTAGCAGAGCAACGATTTAGACTGGGCCCGGAAGAGCTGGGGGGCATGGGCATCGCCCTGCAGCAGTCTGTCAACTGCGCAAGCAAACAGCCCCAACCACCCGGGGCAGCAGTGGGAGGGCCGGGACAGAGCCGGGTCATTTAGTAGGAAACAAGATGTCTCATGTGCCTGCTGCAGGGGCAAACTTGGGCAGGGGCTTAGCCACACCAGCTGGGTTTGTCGTTGTTTGTTTCACCAGGAGAAGCTAAGTACCAGCTGTTTTATTATAAACACACAAAAATAAAGATGTTTAATACAAAACAGTGAAAGGCCCCAAGAACAGGCCCAGAACCCAGCTAAACAAACAGCCCCAGACATGCACGGAAAGGGGTGTGTGAATGATGGTGCTCAACCAAGCACAGATCTGTCCCGGGCCCAGGACAGCATTACCACAAATCCACCTGTTGTCTCTCATACTTGGAGTGTAAACTGTATGGGGCAGAGCCCAGCTTTGTGTTTTGTGCTTGTCCAGTGCCTCGCGCCATGGGGTTCCTAGGCACTACCACAGAACAAATACCTAATACTGCCAGGGATGTGGCAAGCCCAGAGTAGTTGCCAAGGGCACTCTGAGACCATCAGGAGTAACTCCCATGAAGTCAGTGCCAGCCTGAACCTGGTTTGAAGGAGAGGAGAATCAAGCCTAGAGGCCTGTGTCAGCACGACAGACCTACGTTGCTCGGGGTGTGAAAATCTACAACCCTGAGAGATGCAGTTACATCGACATAGCCCTCCCCCCCCAGTGTAGACAGCACCATGTCGGCAGACATAGCTACCACCTCTCGGGGAGGTGGATTAACTACGCCACCGGGGGAAGCTCTCCCACTGGCGCAGGAATGTCCTCACTTCAGCACTACAGCGGGGCAGCTGCAGTGTTTTAAGTGTAGACCTGCCCTTACTCAGGATCCTGCAGTGAGAGACATGCAGGGGGTCAGGCTATTTAGCCCTGTCCTTCCCCTTTCTGGCCCTGACCTGCTCACACAGTCTGCTCCTTAACAGGCACCAGGTTCCAGCCCCTCACATGCCCTTGTTCACCTCTCCTCAAAGGCCAGGCTTGAGATGGGGGCAGCCCAGGGGAGCAAAGAAGCAGAGTCCTGGGGAGCCAGAAACATCCCAGGACACTACTCAGAACCGCACGTTGAAGGAAGCCAGGAGGAGCCACTGAACAGCGAGGAGCAGACATTTTTCTCTCTCCATCTGATGACATTTGCAGGCGCTGAAGGAGCTGGCGATGCTGTTCTGGAGACATTTAACTCGCCTCGCTTTCTGAAACTAGCAATTATTCCAGTGATTATCATTGTTAGGATTTATTATGAAGACATCACCATTGTCTCCAATCCCTGCAGCTCCCTCACTCTCACGGACAGGCACAATTTCACCCACCGCCCCCCGGACTCTGTTATTTCAGTTCTGTAATTACCCTGGACATTCCAAGCAGCGCTTTCGCTGCCTTCGATCTGATGAATCAAAGGGAGGATCCGTTTTGCCTACCTTACCTCAAGCACGTTCCCACGCACTCCCATCAATCCAGCACCTGCTTTCCTGTGCACTAAAAAGTGACTCACGGACCGCTCTGTAAGCTCCTTCCCTTCCCTTCCCTTCCCTGGGGTTCATGCCTCCTGGCAGCTGCACAAGGGGTGGGGTGGAGGACAGGGAGCTGAGGGCAGTTCCAGCCTTTATACCAGAAAGACCTTTCTACAGAGGACTGGGAATAGCTCCAGCTGAACTGGATGTGGCACCCCCTCAGTCCTCTCCATCGCAGATAAATTCAGATTTCTGCCACCGTTACACCCGAGGGGCTCAGTCTCTCCCCATGTCAGCCCCATGGCTGCAGACTCCCTTTCTCGCTTTGTCTCTGTTTGGAAAGAATTGTTTCCCCGTGAGAGCCGCTGCCAATGCAGTCTGTCTGAGCTGCTGCCATTCCCACTGCCAGAGCGCGTGGATGCAGGAGGATGGAGACCTTTAGGGGATGCTCTTCCCCACATCCCATCATGCCCCTCAGAGAGATTTGGGGTTTGCATTTTTAAAGCGCACTGGAAGAAACAAGGCCCTAGTGGGAGAGACCCCTCTCGGGTGAGCCCTTGGCCCCATGGCAGGCTAATCCTGGGAGCTGAGGGGCCGGCAGGCTGGTTGGCAGCATTTACAGTCAGACCAAGTCATCTGGCTCTGAATATTAAACTGTTATTTCTGGGGAAGCACCATCGCATTCACATTTCAGCAATTCTGTTAATTAAAGGGGGATGAAGTGTTTTATAATGAAAACGATTCTTGTCAGCACAATAGCGCTGAATTGGGATGAGACAGAAAAGCTCCTGCATTCAGCGTAGTTGTAATGGTTTAACCGAGCCACTTAATGATACATGCCACGAC